AAAATGCACCCATTTACTCTGTTCAATTTGGGGCATTTCCAAGATTAGCCTCTTGATATTTGTATCACCTAATACTTCTACCTGACCACAATATTTAGACTACTCAGATTGACATAAACCCAAAAATTCTGTTTCTACATTTCCAGAATATTCATTTAATCCTATACATAGATATAATCATAGCAATACTTACCATTTATTTTTGTTTTACATATATCATTTCATTTAATCCTCAAAATCACTCTATTATTAATTCTTATCTTTACAAAAGCCAGAGTGACTAAAACTCAATCTTGAATTATGGCAACTATGAAAAGCCAAAACTGTGCCCCTTGCTAAATTGAGAGGAGCAGGAGAGAAAAAAAAGGTAAAGAGGAGACCTGAGAAATGCTTCATCTCCTTCACCAGTACTCTCTCCCTTCTAGGCATTTCTTCCTGACAAAGACATCAGCTATTTCTTTCAGAAAGCATCATCCACTAAGATTCAGCCTGAAGGCAAAGGACAGAGGAAGAAAACTTCTCACTCCAGGTTACCATACACAGAAAAGCTGAGGTCCAGGGAGACAGGTAAAAATGAAGCGTATTGCCAGGTAGCAACTGCCAGGTCCAGCTCTGTATTTAACAATTTGGACTCAACATGATCCCTGGTTTCTGTATTGATAAAAAACAAACCAACCAACAGTCTACTAAATTTCTAAGGAAATTATGAAACTCCAAACCAGGCAAACACACACACAAAAATGTGATTGTTCAGTCCCTATGACAATCCATGCCCCCCCTCCACCTTACAACAAAACTAAGTGCTGCTTAATGTACAGTCCCCAGAAAGGGAATGCTCCCAAGTGGGAGATCTTCCCAGAAAAGCTCACCAGGGTTGCCAAATTAACCAAGCAACTAACTCTACTGCAAAGAAAAAGAGTTCTCAGTATATTCCTGGCCAGCTGGATTTTAGCTATGGACCTGGTAATAACAATGTGTTGTTTTCCCTCTCATCTTTTCCAAATTATTTTCATCATAGTCATCCTGTTTTCCCATCACTGCAGGTTAGCAATATGGGGGGTGGGGGCTGGAAAGGAAGAAGAATAAATAAAATTCACAGTTAGTTATAGTTTTCTAGACCAGAGATTTAGAACTGGATGGAATAAGTGGATGAATCTAAGTTATTTTCTTTTAGGGTGGGATGGGCTTGGTTTCAACTGCATACAGAATAGCTGCTTTAGTTATATAAACTGGCTGGTAAAGTGGCTCTCAATGCTCTCCACCTTCTGTTATTCACGTCCGTGGATACGTCTCTCCACTTGTGTGTGGATCGGATCTAGCAGTCTGCTTTCAGTGAACAGAATATGGTAAAAATGATGAGGTGTCACTTCTCAGTTCAGGGCATAAAAAACTGTGACTCTGTGACTTATGTCTTGCTTACACTCACTCTGGCCCTTCTCACTTGCTTGCTCTGATAAAGCAAGCTGCCAAGTTTTCAGCTGCCCTTTGGAAAGGCTACATATAAGGAACTGAAAGTGGCCTCCAGTCAACAAGAAACTGAATCCTTCAGTTCAACAGATCATCGTAAACAGAATTCTGCCAACACCATGTCAGTGAGCTTAGAAGCAAATCCTCCCCTAGTGGAGCCTTCAGATGTGACTAAAGCCCTAGCCAACACCTTGATTGTAGCCTTATGAAAGACTCTAAGCCAGAAAACCTCTCTAAACCATGCCTGGATTCCTGACCCACAGAAACTGAGAAATAACAAATGTTGTTATTTTAAGCCATTAAGTTTTAGGGTGATTTATTATGCAACAAAAAAAGATAACTAGTACAGTATGGTAGTAAACAGCCAAAGGATAAACCATAGTGGAAATGTGTTGGTTTTTGACTCCCCAGAATCAAATGCTCGTCTCTGGTAAACATACCCTGGTTCTCCTTTGGGGACCATTCTCTCCATTATTCTCAGTAACCAAGAGGTTTAGACAAGGTTGACTCATCCTCCCCCACAAACTAAATACACTCAACCTAATCTTGACACATTGAGACCTGATGCTGAGACTTCTGTTGGAATCACTGTGGAGAGTAAAGCACTCTTCTTGTTGGACTTGAAGTTGAGAGAGGTAAGCCTGGAACTATCAAGGCCATAAACGAGGGAGAGGTTTTGTAAAAATAAAGCCAATACAGAGAAAAGGAAAGTCAAGAAAGAGAAAATGATGAAATCTTGTTGACATTTAAGCCTCTGAATCCAACAATGCCTTGTCTACTTCTCGACTTCACATGAAGAAATAAGCTTATTTCTTCACTATTTACCTTAACTCAATTTGACATGAATTTATGGGAAAAAAAAAAAAAGAGAGAGAGATTTTTCAACATACTAATCTAGGAGGTTCCGTGAGAACAGGGACCAAATTTATTTTCATCACAACTTCATTTCCCATTGCCTACCCCAAGGGCTGGCAAGAAGGGATCACTCCATAAATATCTGTTGAATGTGTGAATGAAGGTATTCTAAGAAAAACACTGAATAGGCCTAACTTAGCAAAGGTGTAACGCAAATGTTTTATAATCACTGAAAGAGTAAAACAAAGCACCTTTAAAAAAATTAAAATAGTGCTCTAGTTCTAAAACTCTGAAAGATTATTTAGAAACATTATTTTAAGTATAAAGGGAATTTGGATTAGAAAAGTCATTTTAGCACCTCCACTGTTCACTTTATCTCGTGTAAAAATCCTCTAATCTCTAGGATGACTCCTTTTTATTATGTAAGAAAAACTCCTCTTTCTAGATATATTCTCATCTTGGGACATTTTTGAAATTAAGGTTAGAATTTATTTTAGCACTACTATATTAGCTAGCTCCCCATGCACTATGTGAATAAAATAATCATGTCCCCAAATCAACTGATTAGAACACCCAATGTGGGGCACCTGGGAGACTCAGTCGGTTAAGTGTCTGCCTTTAGCTCAGGTCGTGGGGTCCTGGATTTGAACCCTGCATCAGGCTCCCTGTTCAGCAGGGAGTCTGCTTCTCCGTCTCCTTTTGCCCTTCTCCCTGGCTTGTGCTCTCTCATGCACTCTCTCTCTCAAATTAATACATAAAATCTTATTAAAAAAAAAAAAAACTCACAATGCCTTCTTTGTCACAGATACAATACTATAAATAATGTTTTGGTTTCCAGGTTAATTAACAGCAATATCTATTTATACATAACCTCATCTAGATCCAAAAACTAATTTACAGGAAATGGAGAAGACAGAGGAGTATGTCAAACGACACCATAGTGAAACAAACAGTAAAGTCCAGACTGTGGGAAACTCTGTTGGACAAACCAATTTGGTTTCTTCAACAAATAAAATGCAGGGAGTAAAAACAGAGATTGAAGGGGAATCTATAAATTAAGAGACTTAAAGACATGTCAACCAATTACAACTTGTAAACCACTTTGGATCTTGACTCAAACTAACTTTAAAAAATGTGACATGTAGAAAACGACTGAAAATTTAATCACTTCCGGGATATTTGATAATATTAAGGAATTATTATTTTTAAGGTACAATAATGGTATTTTGTTTATGTTAAAAGAGTCCTGGGACACCTGGGTGGCTCAGTGGGTTAAAGCCTCTGCCTTCGGCTTGGGTCATGATCCCAGAGTCCTGGGATCGAGCCCGGCACTGGGAGCTCTGCTCAGCAGGGAGCCTGCTTCCTTCCTCTCTCTCTGCCTGCCTCTCTGCCTTCTTGTGATCTCTGTCTGTCAAATAAATAAATAAAATATTAAAAAAAAAAAGAGTCCTTATCTTTTAGTTGTATACTGAAAATTTTACAGATAAAATATATCTGAATTGGCTTCAAAATAATGGGGAAGGAGAAAGATACGGACATGGATGGGGCAGGCTTGATCATGGGTTGATGGTTGTTAGGGCTGGGTGATGAGTACCTAGAGATTCATTACACTGTTCTGTCTACTTCTGTGTAGGTATTAAATTCTCCATAATAAAAAGTTTAAAAATTTAAAGATAAGTGAACAGAACAAAGAAAAACTATAATGTAGAGCTAACTATTATTAATCTAGTGATATTATTCAAATTAAAAAATCTGGACACTTAAGCTAAAGAATATTTGAGTAGACCTAGAAATTACAAGACATATGCTTCCAAATAATTATAATACTCTGAATTCTGAATATGAAGACAGAGGCAACAGTTACAGACAGGAGGAAGAAGACTTAGAAGGTACAGGTTCACCTTTCTCTGGCAGAGGGTTTGCCACTGGCACATAGTCTTTGGCCTCTTCCTCCTACCTTTTGCCAACCAACTTTTAAAATATTTGTTGAGCATTTATCATACGTAAGACACTGGGCTTGAATGAACACAGTACTATGCCTTTAAGAAGCTTACAATTGCATCGATAACCCCTCCCACTGGACTTCTCAGTCCTGAACATTTCCACCTACCTCCCATTGCCACATTCTAACCTTCCTGTCTTATTTTACTCCAAAAGTACTTGTTTTTCTCTCCCTAATTCCCAGTAAAAACTTCTTACCATTTTCCCACTTTGGCTTGCCTTAAGTAATTCTTAAAAGGAAAAAAAAATTTTTAAAAATCAGGTTAAATAAGCTTCTACAATTATAAATAAATAAAATTATATAACTCTGACAGTGACTAGCAGGCTAGGCCTGCCATGGGGTCAGCCCCTAACTGGAGGGGTTAGATCAAACTTGTCACAGCTTCTTCCCCCACTTCCTCAACTGAATCCATACATTCCCTAAACGCTTTGAGTTTCACCATCCCTGCCTCAACCCTACCAACAAAGTAGCTGTGGGCACTAGGGTTCTATAATGGTGAGAGGTTCTTAACCTTAGGTCATGAAAAAGTCATTAATGGCATAGTTAAAATATTTCCGATATGCCTGAATTTTTATAAACTTGATTTAAATATACTTAGTGAAGATAATTCCATATTCTGTATAGTGAGCTGATGAGAGAAGAAGCAGGGTTAATCAGCCATGGAACATAATCATACCTGCATGGTTCTTCGTTTAGTTAATGTTACTTGAAAATTTTTCCACTCCCAACGTTGCTCCACCACATGTGCAAAAACAACATGCCCATTTCCACAGGCTCCAGCAATCTGAGTGCCATCAATTGACCATGCGATGTTAAATATGCTGCCAGTGTTGGGCTTTTCTAAAGCATATGACCACTGGAGAAGAAAGAATGAGAGAAAAATTGATATACTGAAAAAAAAAATCTTAAAGAAGTTTTAAATTGAGCATACATTAACATTTTAAGATAATTTTTAAAAGACTGTGTCTTCATCCTAGAATTAATATTTTTCATACTAAAATGTGTACTGAACAGAAGATATGGATGTAATATTTAAAGTACATAGTAGAATACGATATAAATATGTAAAATCTCTCAAGCACTGCAAAACACCCATACCATTTCCATTTGCATCATTATTTTTAAGTAATAATACTGAACGGGTAAATACAAAGACTCTATAGAAGGAAAAAAAGATACCTTACTATTAATTCTTAAGGATCTCTATAGTCCCTACATCTAAAAGATTGGTTTTAATATTCCAATAGTGTCACTAAAAAATTGAAACTAAACACACAATATAACTAAGACATCTCTGATATACATTTTAAATCATGAAAGATAGGTTATGGATCTTTTCTTGTTTTTTTTTTTCATAATGTAGTAAATATAACCTCTTCTAGCGTCTACTACCTTTTTGAGAAAGTTATCTCATCAATAAGCATTAACTGGGATGAAAGAGACTCTGTGTGTGTGTGTGTGTGTGTGTAAGACAGTAAGAAAAAGACTTTTAAAAGATGCTATTACAAGGGGCACCTGGGTGGCTCAGTTGGTTAAAGCCTCTGCCTTCGGCTCAGGGCATGATCCCAGCATCCTGGGATTGAGCCTCAGCCTCACATCCAGCTCTCTGCTCAGCAGGGAGCCTGCTTCCCCCTCTTTGTCTCTGCCTGCCTCTCTGCCTCTTTGTGATCTCTGTCTGTCAAATAAATAAATAAACTCTTAAAAAAAAAAGATGCTATTACAAGCATTTTCTTTCATTTTTTCAGATGCAACATACATATTTGCTAAAAGGATGATTTATTTATTTGACTAAACTGATATACATTCTCTTCCCATTCTTCCAACCTTACAGCCCAAAGTCAAATTAAGTCTTGATTTTTGTTGTTGTTGATTTTTTGGTTGCTCTTGGTGGGTATTTATTTTGTTGTACAATATTGCTGCTTCAAATGTGTTCATTGTTAGCTATGGGCTCACTGACCAAAAAATGTGGAGAAAATGGGAAAGATATAGAAAAAGATTCATTAATTCACACTATTATCAAAAAAGACTTTAAATTCTCTATAAAGTTCATATATACAATAAATATGCTGAATGATTCTTTCCACTCACTGACACTTTTTTTCAACTCCCTTCCACCATCCTTTAAACCTCTACCTGTTGCTTAAGTAAAAGGCCTATAGGGTACCTGGGTGGCTCAGTTGGTTAAGTCTTTCGCTCAGGTCATGATCCTGGAGTCCCAGGGTTGAGTCCCCACATTAGGCTCCCTGCTAAGCAGGGAGTCTGCTTCTCCCTCTGACCCTCACCCTCTCATGCTCTCTCTCTCAAATAAATAAAATCTTTAAAAAAAAAATAAAAATGAAATGCCTATAAAAAAGTTATCATGGAGAAGGTAATGAACCAACTTTCACTTCATCAGCAGTATGAAAATGTTAGAAACTTCCTTTTCTAAAATTAAGAAGCGCAAGTTCAAGAAAAGAATATATGTAATAGTTGAAATCATCTTTTTAAAAATAAGACAAAGAACATTAAGGATACCAACAATATGCTTCTGGCAATAAAATGAAATCAACTTATTTGTGTTTGACAAACAGTATTATGAAATCCTGCATGACTACTATTTTACATAAAAATTAAGTGGTTGGTATAGGCAAATGAGACTTGATTGTTAATATACAAAACAGATTGGACTAGGCTTATGGCACATCTGTCATTCTAAAACTAGTCTATTCTCATGGTGTAGATGCAACAAAGATCTCATTTTAAAACCACAGATTCATATTTTAAAATATTACTTTTTTTGAGAGAGAGAGAGCATGTGAGAGCAGGGACTGGGAGTGGCAGAAAGGAGCAGAGGGAGAGAAAGAATCTTAAGCAGGCTCTATGCCCAGCGTGGTGCCTGACACAGGACTCGAAGTCACAACCCTGAGATGATGACCTGAGCCAAAATCAAGAGTCAGATGCTTAACTGACTGAGCCACCCAGGTGCCCCTTAAACCTATTTACTCTAAAGTGTGATCTTAAAATACCCAAAGAACCAAATCAGCCAGAAAGATACATTTTACTAAAATTAAACATAGAAAAATGTATCTAAGAACCCCTGGATGACTGATCCTAACTAAAAGGAGAAACTGGAAAGAAATGTGTAGATAATACTATCATCACCCTATATATCTCTGACTTCTTTTAGTCTGTAAGGTTCATCAACAATGACATCTGCAACACGCAACTTATCCCTAAAAACAAACTTCAAAGAATATAACAGTACCATGATATTAAAGTTATATTAAATATTTATATTTTTATTTAAAATTAAGAAGTGTTTTCTTTTAGATGACTATTAGTTTAAAAAAAAAAAAATACAAGCACAAGCAAATCATCAAAGAATGGGTCTTTAATAGTTATGAAATCTGGGGAGTGGGGTTGGGAGATAAGGTGATTTTGTCCAGTCAGTAAATTTAACAATTATTGGTAAGTCAAAAGGATCTATTTATCATCGGTGCTTTAAACAGACTTCTAGGGGCGCCTGAGTGGCTCAGTCAGTTAAGCGTCGTTAAGTGTCCTACTCTTGCTTTCAGCTTGGGTCCTGGTCTCAGGATCATTGGATTGAGCCCCCATTCGGGCTCCACGCTCAGCAGGGAGTCTGCTTGAAATTCTCTCTCTCCTTCTCCCTCTGCCCCAACCCTGCTGCTGTACTCTCTCAAATAAATAAATAAGTCTTTAAAAGTAAATAAAGAGATTTTTTAATACTCTCAGCCTCTTCTCTTCCCCAAATATGCCATGGAATATTCACGTTTGTGTTTCAAACTCTAGAAAGAAATAAGGCAGCCTCCCTAGATGTAATTTAGTGATAGTCGCAGTAAGAACTGTGAAGATGAATTTTTAAATATCCCTCTCACTTAACATTTAACACTTTTCTTTTGCTTTAAGGCAACTATCCCTTACTTTTTTAGGATATGCCCGGGCCAGGAGCGTCTATATTCCCTATGATCTTGTTAGAAATGTAAATTAATGGACCCAACTCCTCTGAGGGCCAGGAAACTTTTAATGAGTTCTTTCGGGGATTCTTAAGCATGGGAAAGTTAGGACACTGGTTCTTAACTCTGGTTGCACATTAGAATCACCTGGGGTGCTTTTATAAAAGATAACAAAACCCAGGGACCCAATCAATTAAGTCCAGAAATTCTTGGAATGGGATTTGGGTACATTTTTTTCAAGTTCTCTATGCAATTTTAACATACAGCCACTGTTCTATGAGAAAAGCAAAATCTGTAATTTGGTCTAAGACTATCATTAACAACTGGCTCACTGTTAATACCCTGCCAATTCATCTGCCAGCTCTTGAGAAAATTACATGACCCATGTCTTGGCCTCTAATCCAGCTTCTCATATTTATGCGTAAACTTGTTTTTTTACATTTGTTACCAAGTCCAAGCTTGCTCTGCTTACCACATGACAGGACAATTAAGTTGAGCGGCTAGATGTTGGGGCAAGGAGAGTGACTTTGTTTGGAAAAAAAGACTGTGTAACCTCTTTGTCTTTGATCAGTTGATCTTTGAGTACAGGAATCTGGTCATGTAGTTTCTGTATATCCTTCCTCATCTCCTCGAGTGAGTTAGATTTTGGGTAAAAAGCAGTTTTTGCAAACCTTATCTGTAACGTGCCTGAGTGCAGGGCTAAGTAGAACTTTCTAAGCAAGGGAAATCAAGGCAATATGGAGTCAGACATGCTAAGTTTCTCCTTGTTACACATTCATCAGCCTAATTTTTCCTCTTTCACTTTTTATTATTAGACTTCCAAACAAACTAAAGTAGGAAGAGTAACAGAAAGCACAGGTTTTCAAACTTTAGTGTGCATTAGAATTACCTAGAGGGATTGTTAAAATAGATTACTGGACCCACTCCAGTTTCTCTGATACAGTAGATGTAGGGTGGGTACGGCCAAAACGTGTTAGATGACACCATGAGACTGCAGAGGGCAAAATCCAGACTGTGGGAAACTACAGGACATGACCCAGTTTCTTTAACTACAGAAAATTACAAAGGGAAAAAAATTTGGAAGGGGAACTTACAGATCAATCACAATGACTGTATCTTATTTGCATCTTAATTTCAACAAACTGAAAAAGAAAAGAGTTGAAAAGTTTGAACAGTGACTGGATATTTGCTAATATTAAGGAATCTGTTAATTGTTTTAGGTGGTTGTCCACTATAAGCAACATGAAAATCAAGAGATATCTTCCCCCTTCTCTTTTTCCTCTGTCTGATTTTAAGTAGTATCTTTTTATTCCCAATTAACATCTGCAAGCAACCTTATTCTACTTTTCATACACTTCCATTCTACTCCCATTTTTGCAATGTGTACCTATAGCTGATACCTATTATACTGTATCCTTCACAGACATTTTGTCTTAGTTCTCAGTAAATATGTATCTTGTGCTCACAATCAGTAACTTATTTTGCTATAACCCTAGTCGTATTATTAATCTGAAGCTAATTCTCCAGTAGACTCCTTGAAATACTCATGGGAACCACATTCCTTGAGTCCTTATATGTTTATAGCAGTTTGCTTCTGAACCTTAAAGTTCAGAATGGCCAGATATAAAATGTTTGGGCACCTATTCTTTGAGTACCCTATGTTTACCTATAGTCTAGCATAAAGTGTTGTTATCAAAGTCTAGTGACATTTTCATTTTCTCCCCTGTATGAGTGACTTAGTCTTCTCCTTGGATGTCCACAGAATTTTTTTCTTTTTCTTTAAACTCCTATAGTTTTTTTTAGTATATATCTGGGTGTTGGCTATCTGGGTAATTCTCCTAGGTATCTGGTATGCCTTTTCAATATCAATTTTAAATCCCTGACGTTTGAGGAAATCTTTCTT